TACCTTTCTAATGTGATGGATGTGCCCTCTCTCCCTTGCTACGGCAGCCCCCGAGCTGGGGCTGGGAAGGAGGGCTGTCTCTTCCCGGCAGCCACAGCCCCCAAGCTGGGGCTGGGAAGGAGGGCTGTCTCTTCCCGGCAGCCGCAAACCCCAAGCTGGGACTGGGAAGGAGGGCTGTCTCTCCCTGGCAGCTGCAGCCCCCAAGCTGGGGAAAGTCACCTCTTTCTCTGGCTACCGCAGCCCTGCACATCCCAAATTCCCCCCACCCCCTCTTCTCACCCCACTGCACTTTACCACCTACCCCCTATTGCCCCCAAGGCCACCACCTCACCTTACATGTGCATCTTCTCCAGGGTCCAGGCACCTAATTAGTGGAGATACACCTGCCCTTCATTCTCTCATGTGCAGCTGCCCAGGCGGGCACCTTAGAGGGAACTATCCACAGACCACCTGAATGGAACTCACGGACCACTGGTGGTCCACAGATCACAGTTTGAGAACCTCTGACCTAGATGATTTATCCTAGATGATTCAGAATATTTCATGTTTATAAGCACACTGAAAATCACGTACAGAAGAATTTAGAGTGCCTTAATGAGTACTATTTTTCTTACAAAAAAAATTGGCAGATACTTGTATCACTTAATTTTTTATATATTTGCTGAGGGTGTGAATTCTGGCCACAACTCTGCAAACAGTTATATACATGCTTAACTTTAAGCACATCAGTAGTCCCTTTCACTTCAGGCACTTTGATTAGTGGATAATTCATTTTATATACAGGTAGGGTAAACATGTACTTTTAAAAAAATGGGAGCAAAGTACATCCTTTTAAATTTGGCTTGTGAATAGTGTTTTTAAGGCACTTGTGACTGGATTATACTTCTAGACTACTTAACAGAGCCAGGCAAATAATTTAAAAAAATATTCACTACGTATCATATTTGTCAAATAATTTTTTAACAAACATTATTCAACCAATTCTGTGAGAAACTAGACATTTGTGTCAATGGGTAGTAATGGCACAATTAACTTTTCTTTCCTAAGACAAAGGTGTTCTACTTCAGTAATACCCATATTGCACATTTCCTCTGACCTGATAATCAGAGCTACAGAAGAATCTACAATTTACAGAGAACTGAAAAAAAATAATGTAACTACTCATAAATGTAAGCTATTATTCTGTATAGTGTTGCATTCATATAGGACATATGATCAATATTGGTCTCCTCTTCCAGTCCCTAATAAATAAGATTGGGGTATTGTGATAATCCCTCCCTTCACCACTGTCAACTTGGAGATTTAATTGGTAGCTACTGTTTATAGGAGCTGTATCCCCAATTCTCCAATACTTTAATGGAAGAACAGGCAGAAAACATTTTCCCTTCAGTCAAGCAAAAATCATCTTATTGATAAAAGTATTATTTAAAAATAATCAGCTGGTTTCTGATTCATTTTTAATTATTTTTAATCAGGAAATAATATCCAACTACCAGGAATTTTAGCAGCAAGCACCCATTGCTTTGATATAATGAAGTGATAATTTCATTAACATTGTAAATTGTGACCAGGAAATTTTTCTGAAAGATTTAACATTTATCTATTTATTAAAAATAAAGAAAAATACATTAATTAGAAAGTAACACACAATATCAATATAACATTTGACAAGGAAATAACATGTGAGTCAGACAAGTACAAAGAAACCTGTTTGTTTAAATGTTAAAGAAAACAAAGGCTCAGTATTTATTTTTATCAAACTTTTTTACAGTTTCTTTAACAAAATTTGCCTTGTCATTCCCTCAACAGCCCAGGATTTAATTATAACTTTTCACCTTGGGCTATCAATTTTCCCTAAGATGGTAATCAATTTCCAGGAAATGCCTTATGACCTGATGTTGCGCATATTTTATGCATGCTAGTTAACTCACATGAGAAGTCTTATTATACTACTCAATTCAGTAAAGTTACTCGTATGTATGTTTGGAGTATCAAGCCATTACATCCCATTATTTATTTCATTATCACAATATTTTAAAATAAAAATCTCATGTTTACAATTATTTTAATTGGCACAATATTATCTGTGATATGTTCAGTAAAATGTGTGCAATTATAACTAATTAGTAGCTACAAGAAACATTTTCTACCATCTCAAGTTGGCTATGGGACCACAGGGGCCGGCTTCTAATTTTCCCCCGGGGTGCTCAGCCACGGGCTTCACCCCCACTCCACCCCATCCCCCCATCCTCGCCAACTCTTCCTGTCCCCACTCCACCCCTTGCCCCAACCCCCCCACTCTGCCTCTTTCTGCCCCCCTCCTCCGAGCACACCCCATCCCCGCTCCTCCTTCCCAACGCCTCCTGCACACCACAGAACAGCTGATCTGTGGTGGGCAGGAGGTGCTGGGAGGGAGGGGGAAGAGTTGATTGGCAGGGCGGGAGTGGGGGTGTGGGAGGGGAGCTTGGCTTGGCTGATGGGTGCTCCAGTCCTGCAACACTCAGCAACATAGGCTACCATAAGAGCTAAAACCTGTCCTCCATTCCCTATACTGACTTCTCATAGAATACTGAATCATGTTCAAGGTCTTAGCCTTTATGTTCAAGTGCTCTATGGCCTGGGACCAGGATACCTAAAAGATCCATTTAAGCTTCAGGATGCATACCAGAGATGCTGGAACAGGAGGAGCCAAGGGGCCATGGCCCCATCACTTTTAAAAGTGGGAGGGCTATGCCCCCCACTTTTTACCAGCCATAAGGGTGAGCGATGGGGGGGGGGGCGAAAGAGGAGAGATGGGGGGGGGCGTCCAGGGAAGAGGCAGCACAGGG